ATTATTTACAAAAATATTTATATTTATATCAACCACTATATACACAACAAAAATATTTATATTTATACCAACCACTATATATACAACAAAAATGCAACACATGCCCAAGGGATTCGAAAACAATAAAAATATTTATACCAGCCACTATATACACAACAAAAATGCAACACATGCCCAAGGGGATTCCACCTTGGGACCTCAAGTAAAAAACTCAAAGTCATAACCATCAAGCCATCTAACTACATGTGATTATAAACTGCTGATTAATAAACTATATTTACATTTCGTTTTTATTTAATGATGTTTGGGAATTATTCCACATCGAAAGATTGGTATTCAAATTTGGTATATAAATACCTATGCAATATGAATTATAAAATGTGTATAAAAATATTAGGGCAACCTCGCATGTGCGTGTGGACACACGTGTGCGCGTGTGAGTGTGCGTAGGACACGCTCGCACGTGGGCTCGGACACACGTGTGTGTGTGTGAGTGTGTGTGGGGCATGCTCGCACGTGCGCTCGGACACATGTGTGCACATGTGAGTGTACGTAGGGCACGCTCGCAAGTGTGCTCGGACACCTGTATGCGCGTGTGAGTGTGCGTGGGGCACGCTCGCACGTGCATGTCATGTGTGAACCGGGCTGAACCGTATGAGAACCGGCGGTTCCACTGTAGAACCGGGCTGAACCGGATGGGATGCGCGTGTGAGTGTGCGTGGGGCACGCTCGCACGTGCATGTCATGTGTGAATCGGGCTGAACCGTATGAGAACCGGCGGTTCCACTGTAGAACAGGGCTCAACCGGATGGGAACCGACGGTTCCACTCTAGAACCGGGCTGAACCGGATGGGAATCGGTTGTTCCACTCTAGAACTGGGCTGAACCGGATGGGAATTGGCGGTTCCACTCTAAAACCGGGCTGAATCGGATGGGAATCGGTGGTTCCACTCTAGAACCGGGCGGCTCCAGATTTTCGGTTGGAACCGGCACGGGCGGGCGACTTTCCGAGTCGAATCGGGCGTCCGGTTCGACTCGCCGTTTTTTAAAACATTGCTTACAACCATCTTATGTGAGATCTGATAGTTTGGGTGTGCCAGAAAGTTTAAGAAAAATTCTTTTGAACTTTGAGTTTGGTCAATGAAATAAATGCATCCACCCAATTTCACATCCAATTGTCAAGATTAGTGTGACCACCTTGTACCAAAAGTAAATGGTCTTATTATAGACTTTCTTTTAATATTTTGACTCAAACTCTTTCTTTTTCTCTCTCTTATAATCAATCATGAGTGAGTATGTCGTTAAATTTTCAAGACAAAGTTGGAGGTGTTTTGATAGCATCCTCAAAACAATTAACATGTGAGTTGTGCTTCATGCATTTCAATTTGAAAATGGTCCACAATTTTGATTGAGAGACAAGGTGCTCCAAGTTGCTAGAACATCACAAAGCCTAGGAGGATCATACAATATGAGCTTAGTGCAGCATGTCGGAGTTGTAAGAAAATATATCAAAGATAACGTCTTATACATATTCTTAAGGAGGTTGAGAATGAGAGAAAATATATATTTTTATTAGTTAACATGGTATCAGAGCTATGATCTCTTTCCTTTGATGAATTCGTGCTCTCTCTCTTAGTGGCAAGTAATTTGTGCTCATTCCCATTGATTTTGCTTTGACCTCTTCCTAGAATGTAGACCAGGCTTTCTTATTGGATCTTTTCTTTAGCTCATTGCTTCTGGTTATTGAAAGGAGATAGGGGCTCTTTGATGGGAGTTTGTTTTTTACCTTGTATGCACTTTTTGGAAACCCAATGCCATTGCATATAGCAAATGCCTTTTTTTGCATCTTTTGAAAGGAGATAGATGCGGACGGATGTCTTTTTCTTGCCCCAAGTTCCTTAAGTGGGTTCACTTGGGGCATTTTTTTTTTTGTTGGGCTATTCTCTTGCCTTATAACAGAACACAATATCATCTGGGCCCATAATGGATTCTCATAACTTAGCTATTAAATTGAATGGGCAAAACTATCTCTTGTGGGCCTCCTATCTACGGAATTTTCTAGAAGGCCGAGAATTATGGGGTTACATCAACGGTTCTATTGTAGGACCGACTTATGGACTTCTTGATTCCAAATGGACAGCCAATAATGCAAAAGTGAAAACATAGATCATGAAGTCTGTTGAGAACTCTATTATTGTCAATCTGAGCCATTTACACACATCAAAGGCTATGTGAAAATATCTTAAGCATGTATATCAGGAATCCAATTAAGCAATGATGCATCAACTTGAGCAAGAATTAAGCTCTTTGAATCAAGGATAAAAAAGTATTCAAGAATTTTATTATGCAATGATGTTAATTTGGAATGAAATGGATATGATTGATATTGATATTCCTACAAGAGCATAGATACAATACACAAATTTAGGCAATGATAGCGCTCTTGACAATTTTTAATAATACTTATGTCTGAGTTTGAGCATGTGCATGCTACAGTTCTCAGTAGAGAAGGTAATCATGATATTGATAGAATTATTCACAAACTACTTGCTAAAAGTCACTTTCAGTCTATGGAGATATTGCCCTTTTAGCTATTTTAAGCAAAGGGAAAGGTCAAGACATGAGCAAAGTTCTATGTTATAACTGTGAGGAGATGGCCATTTAACTGGTAATTGCAAGAAGAATAATATATGCAACTATTGTATGAAGACTAGACATATAATTACTAAGTGCAGAAAACGACCTCAAAACAGGAGGCCACCTCCTAGAGCCGATGCTGCTATCACAACTACTTCAGAAACGGCTTCAAACACTCCCACTCATCTTTCTACTGTGCCTATACCAACATCAGATCCCTCTCAAAGTCAGTCACCTCCTCTCATAATAGAATGGCCTCAACAAATCATACAAGCCTCCTCTCATAATAAAATTGCTTCAACAAATCATACAAGCCTCCATGTTTTTGGTTTTGGTAAGGCTAGTCTTCAAACTTCTTGGGTGTTAGATTCTAGTGCTTCCAATCATATGACGGGTAACTTGACATTCTTAAAACAAGTTACTCCATATAAAGGCACTCAAAGTATTCATATTGCAGATGGTCAATCCCTCCATGTAGCAAAAGTTGGTTCATTACTCATTACACTTTCTAACTCTCCACCTTTATCTCTTTCTAATGTTTTCTATGTCCCAAGTTTATCAGCAAATTTAACTTGTGTTAGTCAACTTGTCAAACAAAATTGTATTGTCTCATTTTCCACTTTTGGATGTTTGATACAGGACCTACGAACTGGGAAGATAATTGGGAAAGGCCATAAGAAAGGGAACTCTTTGTCTTGGACTTTGGAACTGATTCAACATTTCCTCAGTGTTTTTTTGCTCATTCTAGCTCTGAAATAAATTTTGCGAATAAATTATGGAAGCTCTGGCATTATCGTTTAGGTCATCCTCATACTTTGAATTTGGCTTCATTGTTTTCTTCAGGAGTCTTATTGAATAAAACTGATCCTAAGTATGTAGTAGATAAATCATGTGAGGATTGTATTCTTGCTAAAGTTGCGAAGTTATCTTTTAGTCTTTGTATGGCGAGGGCCAATTGTTCTCTTGATTTAATTCATAGTGATGTGTGGGGACCAACAGCCATTGGTTCATTAACTAAACAATATTATTTTATTTCCTTCATTGATGATTGGTCTAGATACTCTTGGATATATTTTTACATCGAAAGTTTGAAGTCTTACAGGTATTCAAAGAATTTCATGCAAAGGTGGTCACTCAATTTAACAAAAGGGCAAATATTTTACATACAGATTCAGGGGTAGAATATATGTCAAAAGCATTCAACGATTTTTTGGCCAAAGAAGGAATTTTACATCAACGAAGTTGTCCTCATACGACACAACAAAACTGTGTTGCAGAACGAAAGAATAGACATATGAAAGAGACTGTTAGGGCACTTCTTCTTCATTTCAATATGCCTAAATATTTTTGGGCAAAATCGTTCTTAACTAGTGTTTATCTAATTAATAGGTTTACCTACTCCTGTATTGAATCATATTTCACTAGTCAAAAAATTAGTTGGGCATCCACCTAACTACTCTTTACTTCGAACTTTTGGATATATATGTTTTGTTCTTCGACCTCCATCTGAGCGGATCTAAGCTGGATGTAAAGTCTGTCAAATGTATGAAAAAGTCTATCAAATGTGATTTTCTTAGAAAATATTTCATATCATTCCAAATATTCATGTTCGTAATTGCCTTCCAATTCACCAACTTCTTTGTCTTCATTTCATGACATGTTACAGCTGTCTGAACAATAAGTAAGAGCTTCCCTGATTATGCCTCCACCACTACCTCCAGAATCAGGTACTGTAACTACACCACCTCCTCCTCCTCCTACCTCATTGCTATTACGATGTTCCACTAGAGTTTCAAAACCACTTGTTCATCTTTATTTAATCTCTACACTTGAACTGTTATGTATTCATAGTTCTTACAAATAGGCAGCTGACAGTGCTAAGTGGAGTCAAGACATGCAGACATAAATTGAAGCATCAGAAGCTAATCACACTTGGGATTTGGTCCCACTTCCCAGAGGGCCATACTGTGGGAGGGAGCAAATGGGTACATACTATAAAATTAAAGTCTGATGGAATACTAGATCGCTATAAAGCTCGGCTCATGACAAAGGGCTATAATCAGGAGTATGGCCTCGATTGTGATGATACCTTTGTTCCAGTTACCAAAATGACTACTGTACGAGCTTTGATTGCTGTTGCTGGAACCCGAAATTGGGATATCTGCCAGATGAATGTCAATAATACCTTCTTGCATGGGGACCTATCTGAAACTATTTATATAAGACCATCACCATGGTATCTTACTTCGTCTCCTCATATGGTGTGTAAATTACGAAAGGCCATCTATAGGTAAAACAAGCACCCCATGTGGTTTGCAAAGTTGAAAAGTACCCTTCAAGGTGCGAGCTACTACCAAAGTAGCAATGATTACTCTTTGTTCAGTTCATCCACATTAAATGGGAGTGTCTTCGTCTTAATTTTTATTGATGATATATTAATTACAGGAGATGATCATCAAGGTATACAAGTATTGAAAACAGTTCTCCAAAATTCTTTTCATATGCAGGATTTGGGTTATATTACCTATTTCTTACAATCGGAAAGCTCTATAACACCAAAAAGCTATCTGGTTAGTCAAAGAAAATACACCAAGGACCTCATAGCGATGGTTGGACTCACAGATGATAAACAAGTGGACACACCATTGGAAATGAATGTCGAATATAGCAAGACTGAGAGCGACCCCATCACTTATCTGACTATATATAGGAGGATTGTTGGAAGCTTAATCTATCTTACCGTCACACGACCAGATATAGCTCATGCCGTTCTGTTTGTCAATCAGTTTCTTTCATATCCTTGAAGACTTCATCTTGATGATTTTCATCTCATTATTTGGTATCTTCGATCCACGATTGACGTGGCTCTTTCATATGCTTGATATTCGTCCTTAGACTTACGTGCATACTTCAATGCTGATTATGCTGGTTGCCTAGATATACGTTGTTCCACTACTGACTATTGTGTCTTTCTTAGCCCTTCACTGATCTCTTGGAAATTTAAGAAACAACCTTTGATATCAAAGTATTCTGCAGAGTTAGAATATCGGGCTATGTCTTAAGTATGTGGTGAAATTATCTGGCTATGACGACTTCTTGTAGACCATGGGGTTAGTTTAGCTTCCCCAACTCCTCTATTTTGTGATCATTAAAACACAATGAAAATTACAAGCAACCCCCGTTTTTCATGTAAGAACAAAGCATATTGAGGTTGATTGTCATTTTGTATGGAAAAAGTTTGAACGGGGAGAAATAACACTTCCTATAATCCTTCTAAGGATCAGATTGCTGACATTTTCACTAAGACATAGCCTAAAGGTCGCCACAATTATTTGATGAGCAAACTGTTGTTGTTACACCCCTATCCGATCAAAATCATAGAGATAAATTATATGCTCTTTTAAGGACACATGGAAAGCCATATCCAATAAATTTTGTAACCAAGAGAAGCTCTTAACCTATATATATCATGTGTATAGGAGGAGAGGCACAAAGTGGAAATAATGGGAGTGGAAGGATGCTTATGAATTGCAAGTACCTAGGGCCATGCAAAAATAAACAAGATTGTGGTGCCCAATGTAAGAAACAATGTTATTCTGGGACTGCTGCAATTTGCATTCCTAACCCAACCTACCCCAATTTCAGTATTTGTTGTTGTCTTATTGATTAAATGCATTGCACTTTAAGAGGAAGTGCTCTCAATTTGTTCGATCTTTTTCAGACTGTGGTAACCAATGCAAGAAACAAAGTTATTCTGGAACTGTTGCAATTTGTGTTCCTAACCCAACCGAACCCAATTCCATTATATGTTGTTGTCTTGATGATTAAATTCATTGCATTTTCAGAGGAAGTGCTCTCAATTTGGTCAATCTTTTCCCTAGATAGCTCAATACTTTGCCTTTTAGCCAACATGACAGGTTTTTTTTAGAGAGGTGTTTCTAGGTTAGTAGAGTGAGTTCTTGTGTTTCACAACTAATAAATAAACAAATTGCATTTTCTTCTCCCTCTTGACTCTCTCTCTCTATCTCAATATCAGTCATCAATGTGCCCTATTATTCAGGAACCTATGCCACTAAATACACTAAAATACATAATACACATATAAAAGGGACTATTGTGACTTGAATATTGTACCTCCTAGATGGATTAGGTT